TGTTTAGTTTTTTTAGGGCAGTGCTTGTTATAGAGGTATTGGGTTTTTTTTAGAAAATTATTAATACATTCGTCAATATCTGTATAGGTTTCTAGCTCAGTGTGCCAATCAATGTTTGCTATTGCTGTTGTGAAGTTATTAATGGCTGCCTCATTTTGAAGTCTGAAGGTGACTTTAGTAGTGTCTTGGGGTAGTTTACCAAGAGTTGTTATGAGGAAAGTAGGGTAGTGGTCTGTGGTATTATCTGTAATTATGCCTGATTTTAAAGGGGATATGGTGTTGGTCCAGATGTGGTCAAGTAGGGAAACACTAGTCTCTGTAACTCTTGTAGGTTTTGTTACTGTTGGTAGTAACATACAGTTACTCATTGTGTTTGTGAATTCAGTAACGTGTGGGTCCTGGTCTTGCAGGAGATTTATATTGAAGTCACCTGAGAGTAGTAAGTGATCTTTGTTCATGCGTGCATCAGTTATCATACTTCCTAGATTTTGACTAAATTGGCTAATGTTTGACTGTGGAACTCTGTAGATGTTTATCAATGTGAGAGGTTTTTGTAGGTACTTTGATTTGAATTTAGCTATTATATATTCCCCATGTTCATCCCTTGTGCAAGTATTAGTGATACATTCTAGTTGGTCTGAGTATATATGGCTGTGCCACCCCCTTGTTGATTCTGGCCTACAGTTGTGTATGGCTGTGTAACCAGAATGGCATAGACATCTGTACTATCAGGCTTTAGCCAGGTTTCAGTTAGTGTAATGATGGACATATTGGCATGTAAGGAATTTAGTAATGCTATGAGGTCATCGTAATGCTTGCTTAAAGATCTGATATTGTAGTTAAATATAGTTATGTTGTTGTTGGCACTGAGAAGTGCCTTTGATTGTTCTGCAGTGTAGTAATTACAGTTACTGTTTGATTCATTTAAGTCATTAAATAAAAGGTTGGTATCAGGATCAATGCTTGTAATCATAAGAATTTGTAGTGGAATCTATAGTTTGAATTAAGTATAAAACAAAATAAATAGTCTTAAGCTAAAAAATAGCACCTGGATTATTTAACAAATGTAAAATAATGAGCTAAGGGACTAATACAAATAAAGTGATGATCAAATAGTGGAGCTTGGGAATATGATAGTAGATAGTACTATAAAGGTAATTTTTTAAAGTTAGAATTATAGTATAAAATTATAATATAAAAGGGACTAATATAGGTTGTGGTGACGATAAAGTGGTAATCAAAAAAATGAGCTTTGGAATATAATGGCAAAATTGTGAACTTATTCTACTTTAGCACCTAAGAATAGCACCTTGATTATTTTAACAATTGTGAATAGTCAACTGTTATGGGTTGTATCCTGAGGGACAAGATTAAAGGACTCCAACGGAAGTGAGAGAAATTCTCAGATGACGCAGACTTTATTGGGTTATCCTGGGTAGCTAACCCTCCAGGTTAAAAATCTAGATAAAATCATCTTTTCCTCATCCTCCGCCTTAAATAAATTTTAACTTAGTTTACCATAATACCCCAACTTTTTCTTTTATTTCGAAAATGTGAAAAAGAAAATGGAACATAAATCGCAAACTATTGTATGTTTGAAATTGCATTACAGTAATTAAATTTAAATAAATATTCACGTCACATATGATACTCGAAGTAGGAATGTCGATGTAATTAGGGAGCCCCTAGTATCCATATCATTTTAGGCATATACTGGAAAATACCTGGGTATATGCGTGAGTTATTTCTCCCTAACAATGAATAAAATAACTATGTATTATATATATATATATATATATATATATATATATATATATATATATATATATATATATATATATCAATGCACCACGCAGAAACATACAAAGAAAGATCGCAGTCGGTAGGATTCGAAATTACTACTGAGAACGTCAAGATTCCCAGGCAGCGCTCTAGTCCACTCGGACACACAAATGACACATAGACTGGACATCCTGGTTCACAAATTCAAATTCAAATTCAAAGTTTATTCTCTATAAGGATTACAATGTTGAATTTACAGAATTTGGTTATTGTGTGGTTTACATGTAGTTAAATAATGATTACAGAGTGTACCACTAGAACGCCTAGCATGGCTAGGCATTTCGGGCAGACTTGGTTTAATTCTTTATTTTAAAATATTACAAATTATGAGGTAAGTTGGTATTATGGCTAAGTGACTAAATACTAGTTTGTGAGTTTAGCAATGTGAATGCTTTTGTTTTGGCACAGTACATAGTTTCAGTATTGGAGTATCATAGGATTCATTATTTTAAGATTGAGATTAATATTTCTGTTTATGGTCAAATGGGTGAGTGAGTGTAAGTGTGAACCACCAGGTGGTATTCGTGTAGTTAGTTGACGGGGTGTATCAGGGAGATAAGATGTTTTCTAATGGTAGTTTTGAAGGTGATGAATGTGTCTGCAGTTCTAGAGTTCTCAGGTAGGGTGTTCCAGATTTTAGGGCCTTTGACATACATTGAATTTTTGTAAAGGTTTAGTCGGACACGGGGAATGTCGTAGAGATGTTTGTGTCTGGTGTTATGCCTGTGGGTTCTGTCACAACTATCAAGAAAGCGTTTTAGGTCAAGGTTGATATTGGAGTTTAAGGTCCTGTAGATGTAGATTGCACAGTAGTAAGTATGGATGTACTGAACAGGGAGTAAGTTTAGATCTATGAAGAGTGGGGGGGGTGTGTTGCCAGGGATGGGATTTAGTGATTATTCTTACTGCAGCTTTTTGTTGGGTTATTATTGGCTTTAGGTGTGTTGCTGCAGTTGATCCCCAAGCACAAATAGCATAGGTGAGGTATGGATAAATTAGTGAGTGGTATAATGTGAGAAGAGCATTTTGCGGCACGTAGTATCGTATCTTGGAGAGGATCCCAACCGTTTTGGATACTTTTTTGGTTATGTGTTGGATATGGGTGCTGAAATTCAGGTTGTTGTCAAGGTATAGACCTAGGAATTTGCCCTCATTATGTCTGGTAATTAGAAAGTTGTCGATCTTAATGTTAATTTGTCATCTCCTGCTCTGCTAACAAAGATAATATATATATATATATATATATATATATATATATATATATATATATATATATATATATATATATATATATATATATATATATATATATATATATATATATATACATATACATATATATATACATACATATATATATATACATATACACATGTATATATATATATATATTATATATATATATATATATATATATATATATATATATATATATATATATACATACATATATATATACAAGCCATGTTTCTTTCCCAGCCCGGGCACGTCAGTGAGCCTCAAGCATGGATTCAAGCTTTTTCGATTTCCTCCTGTATGTTCTGGCCTCTCAAGCGATATTGATATAAAAATCGCTAAATATTCCCCAAACCCTACTTTAGTTAGTTAGTTAAAGATTAGCCGGTATTCTCCTGGCCCGGGCCTTGTCCAAGTGGTGGCCCGGCCTTGGCTCCCTCTTTAGGGAGTGTCTGAGACCTAAGTCTCCCATGGGAGGAGGCACAAGTACCTCCTCATCTTTGGGACCAACTGTCCCCAGGCCTAGCCACAAGCTAGGCCTCTCTGGTCTGCCATCCCAGCCCCAAGGGGGCTAATGGGAATGACAGTCTTATGAGCTAAAAGCTCGGGCTCAGGCACCTACCCTACCCTAGAAGGGCTAGGCATGGTGTCGATGAACCCTACTTTAAAACAATCTAAATTTGTTTTGAAAACCGTACTATGAACATCAGAGAACGCTACTATTATATGATTATTCTATCAAACCAACCACCACTGTCAAAAATCAGCAAATAATGCTAATGTTACTTTTCCCGTGACAAAACTTACATAATGGAAATAAGTCACTCTGACTTTTTTGGGTTATCCTACGTACTTTACACATGTGGAAAATTAAATTTACCTGGATGTAACTCATAAGATACATACCAGTAAATGGTAACAAAGATAATTATTCTTTATCAAGGTTACAGAGATAAGTAGGAATTTTAGGACACCAAGGTCGCAAAAAATGTCCTGACTTTTTTGGGTTATCCTAGGTTCTCTACACATATGTTGCTATGTATGATAATTCTATGTAACTGTATTTGTGTATACCTGAATAAACTTACTTACTTACTTACTCCTTCGATACCTACGATAATCTATCTCTCCACACGTCACTCTGGACCTATATTAATTTCAAATGAAATATACATCATCAGGAATTCTGGTAAAAACATTAATATAAATACGTGGACTGTATATTAAATTTAAAATGCGAATACATATACATTGATGGAAAATTTATAATAATAAGACTCACCAATTAGTCTGGAGATTACGGTGTGTCATACAAACCCCCCTGCCTAAAATTATGAAGAAAATACTGGCCAGAATTTCAACACAAAATAGACATGACTTAGCTGGGGTTCCAAAGCTGTCCTGTCCATCTGCTTAATGCTCACGTTATGCAGGACTGCAAATCCAACAATTTCGGCTCTTATTTGAGAGGTTTTAAGCCCAATATAACCGCTAGAGCGACGAAAATTTATGCATATTTCACTAACGTGCCTGTACCACATTCAAAACAATGGCGTCTCAACCCCAGCGATGCTCACCCATCGATGGTTCTTTATTTATTTACAAATTAATTTTTATTACCTACAATATATTACACTAATTTACATACAAAATATACTGAATTTTTGGAGAATATACAGTATTTTCCACAACACATATGCTGCTTTGTATGATAATCTATGTAACTGTATTTGTGTATACCTGAATAAACTTACTTACCCTTCTTATAAAAACCCCAAATTCTCACATAAAATTCACTCTACAGTCACTAATATACTCTAGCAACCTTCTCTAATCTTCTTAGCATAACCTAACCAAAAATAAAACGATTTTACAATCCTTACCCATGACTATTTTTACAATTATAAAACGTAAACCTCCAGGACCAGAGAAACTTGACAGCCTAACACTACCTAGTAGCGACCAGTGAAGAGGCGGGGCCAGGAGCTGTGACTTGACCCCTGCAACCACAACTAGGTGTGTACTACTACACTTACCTTCACACAACTTTCCGTGCAACAATGATCCTCCAGTTTATGCAATCTAGTTAGTGTCGTTATCTCAGGTTAAAACACAGTAACGTAACTTACCCTAACCTAACCTAAGTTAGCGTCAATATTAGCATAAGAACATGAGAGGGGAGTAGCACTGCAGCAGGCCTGCTGGCCCATACTAGGCAAGCCCTTCTCAAACCCAAACCAACTAACACCCCAACCCAACTAAAAAATTTGCTGGTGTCTTTATTATTGGTATCTTCATGACCGGTATCTTTATTGCTGGTATCTTTGTGAATATCAAAATGGTATACAATACCGACAGGTTGGTAGGTAAGACACATGGGCAACAGTTAGGCAACTTTATTCCGAAATGTTTCGCCTACACAGTAGACTTCTTCAGTCGAGTACAGAAAGTAGGCAGGAGCAGTAGCGATGTGAAGACGATGTAATCAGTCCATCACCCTTAAAGTCGTAGATCTGAGGTTGTCAGTCCCTCAGCCTGGAGAAGAGTTCTATTCCATAGTCTGAAACAATCTGAAGACACAAGCGACAGTGTGGAGACTTATATACTACCGGAAGGAGAGGTGCAGGGTGGTAGTATGTAAGTCTAAACACTGTAGCTTGTGTCTTCAGTCTATTTCAGACTATGAAACAGAACTCTCCTCCAGGCTGAGGGACTGACAACCTCAAATCTACGACTTCAAGGGTGATGGACTGATTACATCGTCTTCACATCGCTACTGTTCCTGCCTACTTTCTGTACTCGACTGAAGAAGTCTACTGTGTAGGCGAAACGTTTCGGAATAAAGTTGCCTAACTGTTGCCCATGTGTCTTACCTACCATGCTGGTATATATGTTGTTAGTAGTTTTATTTATTGTTATCTTTAATGCTGGTACCTTTATTCTTGATATCTTTGTTGCTCTATCTTTATCATTTGTATCTTTATTGCGGGTGTCTTTATTGTTGAGAGCCTTGTTGTGCAAGAAGGGTATACAATACCGACAAGATGAAAGTTAAGACACATGTGCAACATCTGGGTATCTTTATTGTAGACGTTTCGCCCTCCAGTGGCTTTATCAATACAGATTCTTGGACATAATTATAAGACAGTAGAACTATATACAAAAGTTCTACTGTCTTATAATTATGTCCTGGAATTTGTATTGATAAAGCCACTGGATGGAGAAACGTCTACAATAAAGATATCCAGATGTTTCACATGTGTCTTAACTTTGTTGTTATTACCTTTATTACTGGCAACTATTGCTGGTATCTCCTTTGCCAGAATCTTTATTGCCGTATTTCTATCCCCATTATCTTTATCACCAGCAGTAAAGATCTTGGCAGACAATAAAGATACCCATGTGCAACACATCTGTGTTATTCTTTAACTCATCGCTAATTCACGGTTAAATTCGTCCCTGACTTAGATCGTGTAGAATATGACGCACTTGCTTCTCTATGTTGTTTATTTGCAGGCTACGATGAGGGTCGTTACAGTAGTGACTGTGCTGTTACTGTTGCTGCTACTGTTGCTAATTGGTACGTACCTGTTGGCTTGTTACTGCGTGAGTAATGCATTATTATTATTATTATTATTATTATTATTATTATTATTATTATTATTATTATTATTATTATTTTTTTTTTTTTTTTTTTTTTTTTTTATTCGCCGGTATTCTCCCGGTCAGGGTCTTTTCCAAGTAGTGGTGACCCGGCCTTGGCTCCCTATCTGGGGAGTGTCTCGATACTTAACTCTCCCATGGGAGGAGGTACAAGTACCCCCTCATCTTTGGGACCAACTGTCCCCAGGCCTAGCCACATTCCCCGCCCTCACGGGGCTCGTAGGGAGAAGCTAGGCCTCTGGTCTGCCATCTACCCCGCCTCAAAGGGGCTCGTGGGGATGGCAGTCTTATGAGCTGCAGATGGTAGCAAGCTCAGGCCTTTTTATTATTATTATTATTATTATTATTATTATTATTATTATTATTATTATTATTATTATTATTATTATTATATTATATTATTATTATTATTATTATTATTATTATTATTATTATTATTATTATTATTATTATTATTATTATTATTATTTTTTATTATTATTATTATCTGAACTGATACTCTCAACTAATACTTTGAACTAACACCCTGAATCGATATCCCGAACTAATATATTGAACCAATACTTTGGACTAATACCCTTAACTAATGCCCTGAACCAATAACTTAAACTAATACCCTGAGCTAATACTCATACTAATATCCGAACTAATACCTTGAAGTAATACTCTAGGCTAATACTATGACCTAATACCCTGAACTAATACAATATTTTAATACCCTGACCTGATATTTTAATTAGGTGCTACGAGATGATGGATACCCTCTGCCCAGATTTAATACCCTGTGGTATAGTGCTCGGATTTAATATCTTGTGGTAGTGCCCAGATTTATTACTCCTGTGGTGGTGTTCAGATTCAATACGTTGTGATAGTGCCCAGATTTAATATCCTGTACTAGTGTCCAGAATTAATACCATGTGGCAGTGCCCTTAGGCATTACCCTGATGTAATACCCTCAGTTAATACCCTGTACCCTACAGAGTACGTAAGGTCAGAGTGTCGGAGCGACCCTGGCATCAGTTAATACCCTGTGGTAGTGCCCGGATATAATACCTTGTTGTAGTGCCCAGATTTAATACCTTGTACTAGTGCCCAGATTTAATACCCTGTGGGAGTGCACAGATATAATACCTGGTTGTAGTGCCCAGATTTATTACCTTGTGGCAGTGCCCAGATTTAATATCCTGTGCTAGTGTCCAGAATTAATACCCTGTGGCAGTGCCCTTAGGCATTACCCTGATGTAATACTCTCAGTTAATACCCTGTACCCTACAGAGTACGTAAGGTCAGAGTGTCGGAGTGACCCTGGCATCCCCAAGGGGAAGTTCAGGAACGTGGATGGATGCCCCGTGACTCGCACCTTCCAGCCAGTGTGTGGCACTGATGGTTGTGACTATGTCAACGACTCGGCACTCCACTGTGCCTATGAGGACGATATTAGAAGGGGAGTGCCAGGTGAGTGTGGCAGTGTCAGGAAAGTGTGGCAGTGACGGGTGACGTGTTACAATGCCATGTGAGTGTAGTGGCAGTGCCAGGTGAGTGTAACAGTTTCAGGTGAGTGTGGCAGTGCCAGGTGAGTGTTGAAGTGCCAGGCGAGTGCTGCAGTGCCAGGTGAGTGTGACAGTGCCAAGTGTGTGAGTATGGCAGTGCCAGGTGAGTGTGGCAGTTCCAGGTGAGTGAGTGAGTGTGGCAGTGCCAGGTGAATGAGTGAGTGCGGCAGTGCCAGGTGACTGAGTGAGTGTGGCAGTGCCAGGCGACTGAGAGAGTGTGGCAGTACCAGGTGACTGAGTGTGGCAGTGCTAGGTGAGTGAGTGTGGCAGTGCCAGGTGACTGAGTGAGTCTGGCAGTGCCAGGTGACTGGGTGAATCTGGCAGTGCTAGGTGAGTGAGTGTGGCAGTACCAGGTGACTGAGTGTGGCAGTGCCAGGTGACTGAGTGTGGCAGTGCCAGGTGACTGAGTGAGTCTGGCAGTGCCAGGTGACTGAGTGTGGCAGTGCCAGGTGACTGAGTGTGGCAGTGCCAGGTGACTGAGTGTGGCAGTGCCAGGTGACTGAGTGAGTCTGGCAGTGCCAGGTGACTGAGTGTGGCAGTGCCAGGTGACTGAGTGTGGCAGTGCCAGGTGACTGAGTGAGTCTGGCAGTGCCAGGTGACTGAGTGTGGCAGTGCCAGGTGACTGAGTGTGGCAGTGCCAGGTGACTGAGTGAGTCTGGCAGTGCCAGGTGACTGAGTGTGGCAGTGCCAGGTGACTGAGTCTGGCAGTGCCAGGTGACTGAGTCTGGCAGTGCCAGGTGACTGAGTGAGTCTGGCAGTGCCAGGTGACTGAGTGTGGCAGTGCCAGGTGACTGAGTCTGGCAGTGCCAGGTGACTGAGTCTGGCAGTGCCAGGTGACTGAGTGAGTCTGGCAGTGCCAGGTGACTGAGTCTGGCAGTGCCAGGTGACTGAGTGTGGCAGTGCCAGGTGACTGAGTCTGGCAGTGCCAGGTGACTGAGTCTGGCAGTGCCAGGTGACTGAGTGAGTCTGGCAGTGCCAGGTGACTGAGTGTGGCAGTGCCAGGTGACTGAGTCTGGCAGTGCCAGGTGACTGAGTCTGGCAGTGCCAGGTGACTGAGTGAGTCTGGCAGTGCCAGGTGACTGAGTCTGGCAGTGCCAGGTGACTGAGTGTGGCAGTGCCAGGTGACTGAGTCTGGCAGTGCCAGGTGACTGAGTCTGGCAGTGCCAGGTGACTGAGTCTGGCAGTGCCAGGTGACTGAGTCTGGCAGTGCCAGGTGACTGAGTCTGGCAGTGCCAGGTGACTGAGTCTGGCAGTGCCAGGTGACTGAGTCTGGCAGTGCCAGGTGACTGAGTGAGTCTGGCAGTGCCAGGTGACTGAGTCTGGCAGTGCCAGGTGACTGAGTGTGGCAGTGCCAGGTGACTGAGTCTGGCAGTGCCAGGTGACTGAGTCTGGCAGTGCCAGGTGACTGAGTCTGGCAGTGCCAGGTGACTGAGTGTGGCAGTGCCAGGTGACTGAGTCTGGCAGTGCCAGGTGACTGAGTCTGGCAGTGCCAGGTGACTGAGTGAGTCTGGCAGTGCCAGGTGACTGAGTCTGGCAGTGCCAGGTGACTGAGTGTGGCAGTGCCAGGTGACTGAGTCTGGCAGTGCCAGGTGACTGAGTCTGGCAGTGCCAGGTGACTGAGTCTGGCAGTGCCAGGTGACTGAGTCTGGCAGTGCCAGGTGACTGAGTCTGGCAGTGCCAGGTGACTGAGTCTGGCAGTGCCAGGTGACTGAGTCTGGCAGTGCCAGGTGACTGAGTGAGTCTGGCAGTGCCAGGTGACTGAGTCTGGCAGTGCCAGGTGACTGAGTGTGGCAGTGCCAGGTGACTGAGTCTGGCAGTGCCAGGTGACTGAGTCTGGCAGTGCCAGGTGACTGAGTCTGGCAGTGCCAGGTGACTGAGTCTGGCAGTGCCAGGTGACTGAGTCTGGCAGTGCCAGGTGACTGAGTCTGGCAGTGCCAGGTGACTGAGTCTGGCAGTGCCAGGTGACTGAGTCTGGCAGTGCCAGGTGACTGAGTCTGGCAGTGCCAGGTGACTGAGTGAGTCTGGCAGTGCCAGGTGACTGAGTCTGGCAGTGCCAGGTGACTGAGTGTGGCAGTGCCAGGTGATTGAGTCTGGCAGTGCCAGGTGACTGAGTGTGGCAGTGCCAGGTGACTGAGTCTGGCAGTGCCAGGTGACTGAGTCTGGCAGTGCCAGGTGACTGAGTCTGGCAGTGCCAGGTGACTGAGTCTGGCAGTGCCAGGTGACTGAGTCTGGCAGTGCCAGGTGACTGAGTCTGGCAGTGCCAGGTGACTGAGTCTGGCAGTGCCAGGTGACTGAGTCTGGCAGTGCCAGGTGACTGAGTGTGGCAGTGCCAGGTGACTGAGTCTGGCAGTGCCAGGTGACTGAGTCTGGCAGTGCCAGGTGACTGAGTCTGGCAGTGCCAGGTGACTGAGTCTGGCAGTGCCAGGTGACTGAGTCTGGCAGTGCCAGGTGACTGAGTCTGGCAGTGCCAGGTGACTGAGTCTGGCAGTGCCAGGTGACTGAGTCTGGCAGTGCCAGGTGACTGAGTCTGGCAGTGCCAGGTGACTGAGTGAGTCTGGCAGTGCCAGGTGACTGAGTCTGGCAGTGCCAGGTGACTGAGTGTGGCAGTGCCAGGTGACTGAGTCTGGCAGTGCCAGGTAACTGAGTGTGGCAGTGCCAGGTGACTGAGTCTGGCAGTGCCAGGTGACTGAGTCTGGCAGTGCCAGGTGACTGAGTCTGGCAGTGCCAGGTGACTGAGTCTGGCAGTGCCAGGTGACTGAGTCTGGCAGTGCCAGGTGACTGAGTCTGGCAGTGCCAGGTGACTGAGTCTGGCAGTGCCAGGTGACTGAGTGAGTCTGGCAGTGCCAGGTGACTGAGTCTGGCAGTGCCAGGTGACTGAGTGTGGCAGTGCCAGGTGACTGAGTCTGGCAGTGCCAGGTGACTGAGTCTGGCAGTGCCAGGTGACTGAGTCTGGCAGTGCCAGGTGACTGAGTCTGGCAGTGCCAGGTGACTGAGTCTGGCAGTGCCAGGTGACTGAGTCTGGCAGTGCCAGGTGACTGAGTCTGGCAGTGCCAGGTGACTGAGTCTGGCAGTGCCAGGTGACTGAGTCTGGCAGTGCCAGGTGACTGAGTCTGGCAGTGCCAGGTGACTGAGTCTGGCAGTGCCAGGTGACTGAGTCTGGCAGTGCCAGGTGACTGAGTGAGTCTGGCAGTGCCAGGTGACTGAGTGAGTGTGGCAGTGCCAGGTGACTGAGTGAGTCTGGCAGTGCCAGGTGACTGAGTGAGTCTGGCAGTGCCAGGTGACTGAGTGAGTCTGGCAGTGCCAGATGACAATTCACTCGTTTTCAGAGATATTAACTAAAAAAAAATCATAAGCAAGCTCTTTTTTCTTTTTTTCTTTGAGTCAGCAATAAAGGTCGTTTTCTCTTCTTCTGAACGACCTTAAAAGATCAGTTTTGTTCTTTATCGAATTCACTGCAAAAGTTAAATCCTCTTTCTTAATGGAATTTACCACAAAAGTCCGAATTTCACTGTTTCAGAGGAGGAAGCAGTGAAGGTGGCGTACGCAGGTCACTGTGACCAAAACAGCACCGTTAACGCTGACGGTGACTTCTAATGTTGGATGGCAACGGGAACGGCAAACACAACAACGTGAACGGGATTCAAGATCAACGGGAACAAGGGACGGTAATATTAAATGGAAACAAGCGGGAGTGAATGCTGACGGCAACGGGAGACAAAACAACGGCAACGGAAGACGAAACAACGGCAACGGAAGGCGAGATCAGTTTCATGGGAGATAAAGGGATGGGAAAAAATAGCAAATCAACGGGGGTGGGGGAGTTAAAAAAAAAAAAAAAAGAGGGGGGAAGATAAAATTTTTGGATAAACAGATCAAAACAACGGTAAACAGAGAAAAATTTATAAACGGCATAAAAAAAAACATCAAAACAGACGTGTGTGTGAACCGCAAAAAAGAAAACACGGGAAAAACACAAACAACGAGGATTGTGCCTCATCTACACACAAGCACCAAAAAAACTAAACCCGGATGTTTAAGATAAAACTAGATAAGTTAGGAAATCCGGCGAAGGTTCGTGATCAAGAATTTTAGCAGCGATTTTTCACTGAGGTTTAAAATTTGCACTGTGGGGCAGCAGGTGCTGAAGGTATATACTCTTGAGATTTAGGCAGGTGTAACATGGTATAAGTTAGGCAGGTGTAACTTGGTATAAGTTAGGCAGGTGTAACATGGTATAAATTAGGCAGGTGTAACTTGGTATAAGTTAGGCAGGTGTAACTTGGTATAAGTTAGGCAGGTGTAACTTGGTATAAGTTAGGCAGGTGTAACATGGTATAAGTTAGGCAGGTGTAACTTGGTATAAGTTAGGCAGGTGTAACTTGGTATAAGTTAGGCAGGTGTAACTTGGTATAAGTTAGGCAGGTGTAACTTGGTATAAGTTAGGCAGGTGTAACATGGTATAAGTTAGGCAGGTGTAACTTGGTATAAGTTAGGCAGGTGTAACTTGGTATAAGTTAGGCAGGTGCAACTTGGTATAAGTTAAGCAGGTGTAACTTGGTATAAGTTAGGTAGGTGTAACATGGTATAAGTTAGGCAGGTGTAACTTGGTATAAGTTAGGCAGGTGTAACTTGGTATAAGTTAGGCAGGTGCAACTTGGTATAAGTTAGGCAGGTGTAACTTGGTATAAGTTAGGTAGGTGTAACATGGTATAAGTTAGGCAGGTGCAACTTGGTATAAGTTAGGCAGGTGTAACTTGGTATAAGTTAGGTAGGTGTAACTTGGTATAAGTTAGGCAGGTGCAACTTGGTATAAGTTAAGCAGGTGTAACTTGGTATAAGTTAGGTAGGTGTAACTTGGTATAAGTTAGGTAGGTGTAACTTGGTATAAGTTAGGCAGGTGCAACTTGGTATAAGTTAGGCAGGTGTAACTTGGTATAAGTTAGGTAGGTGTAACTTGGTATAAGTTAGGTAGGTGTAACTTGGTATAAGTTAGGCAGGTGCAACTTGGTATAAGTTAGGCAGGTGTAACTTGGTATAAGTTAGGCAGGTGTAACTTGGTATAAGTTAGGCAGGTGCAACTTGGTATAAGTTAGGTAGGTGTAACTTGGTGTAAGTTAGGCAGGTGTAACTTGGTATAAGTTAGGCAGGTGCAACTTGGTATAAGTTAGGTAGGTGTAACTTGGTATAAGTTAGGCAGGTGCAACTTGGTATAAGTTAGGTAGGTGTAACTTGGTATAAGTTAGGCAGGTGCAACTTGGTATAAGTTAGACAGGTGTAACTTGGTATAAGTTAGGCAGGTGCAACTTGGTATAAGTTAGACAGGTGTAACTTGGAATAAGTTAGGCAGGTGCAACTTGGTATAAGTTAGGTAGATGTAACTTGGTGTAAGTTAGGTAGGTGTAACTTGGTGTAAGTTAGGCAGGTGTAACTTGGTATAAGTTAGGCAGGTGTAACTTGGTATAAGTTAGGCAGGTGTAATTTGGTATAAGTTAGGCAGGTGCAACTTGGTATAAGTTAGGCAGGTGTAACTTGATATAAGTTAGGCAGGTGCAACTTGGTATAAGTTAGGTAGGTGTAACTTGGTGTAAGTTAGGCAGGTGTAACTTGGTATAAGTTAGGCAGGTGCAACTTGGTATAAGTTAGGTAGGTGTAACTTGGTATAAGTTAGGCAGGTGCAACTTGGTATAAGTTAGGTAGGTGTAACTTGGTATAAGTTAGGCAGGTGCAACTTGGTATAAGTCAGACAGGTGTAACTTGGTATAAGTTAGGCAGGTGCAACTTGGTATAAGTTAGACAGGTGTAACTTGGTATAAGTTAGGCAGGTGCAACTTGGTATAAGTTAGGTAGATGTAACTTGGTGTAAGTTAGGTAGGTGTAACTTGGTGTAAGTTAGGCAGGTGTAACTTGGTATAAGTTAGGCAGTGTAACTTGGTATAAGTTAGGCAGGTGTAACTTGGTATAAGTTAGGCAGGTGCAACTTGGTATAAGTTAGGCAGGTGTAACTTGGTATAAGTTAGGCAGGTGCAACTTGGTATAAGTTAGGTAGGTGTAACTTGGTGTAAGTTAGGCAGGTGTAACTTGGTATAAGTTAGGCAGGTGCAACTTGGTATAAGTTAGGCAGGTGTAACTTGGTATAAGTTAGGCAGGTGCAACTTGGTATAAGTTAGGTAGGTGTAACTTGGTGTAAGTTAGGTAGGTGTAACTTGGTATAAGTTAGGCAGGTGCAACTTGGTATAAGTTAGGTAGGTGTAACTTGGTGTAAGTTAGGTAGGTGTAACTTGGTATAAGTTAGGCAGGTGCAACTTGGTATAAGTTAGGCAGGTGCAACTTGGTATAAGTTAGGCAGGTGCAACTTGGTATAAGTTAGGTAGGTGTAACTTGGTATAAGTTAGGTAGGTGTAACTTGGTATAAGTTAGGCAGGTGCAACTTGGTATAAGTTAGGCAGGTGCAACTTGGTATAAGTTAGGCAGGTGCAACTTGGTATAAGTTAGGTAGGTGTAACTTGGTATAAGTTAGGCAGGTGCAACTTGGTATAAGTCAGACAGGTGTAACTTGGTATAAGTTAGGCAGGTGCAACTTGGTATAAGTTAGACAGGTGTAACTTGGTATAAGTTAGGCAGGTGCAACTTGGTATAAGTTAGGTAGATGTAACTTGGTGTAAGTTAGGTAGGTGTACCTTGGTGTAAGTTAGGCAGGTGTAACTTGGTATAAGTTAGGCAGGTGTAACTTGGTATAAGTTAGGCAGGTGTAACTTGGTATAAGTTAGGCAGGTGCAACTTGGTATAAGTTAGGCAGGTGTAACTTGGTATAAGTTAGGCAGGTGCAACTTGGTATAAGTTAGGTAGGTGTAACTTGGTGTAAGTTAGGCAGGTGTAACTTGGTATAAGTTAGGCAGGTGCAACTTGGTATAAGTTAGGCAGGTGTAACTTTGTATAAGTTAGGCAGGTGCAACTTGGTATAAGTTAGGTAGGTGTAACTTGGTGTAAGTTAGGTAGGTGTAACTTGGTATAAGTTAGGCAGGTGCAACTTGGTATAAGTTAGGTAGGTGTAACTTGGTGTAAGTTAGGTAGGTGTAACTTGGTATAAGTTAGGCAGGTGCAACTTGGTATAAGTTAGCCAGGTGCAACTTGGTATAAGTTAGGCAGGTGCAACTTGGTATAAGTTAGGTAGGTGTAACTTGGTATAAGTTAGGTAGGTGTAACTTGGTATAAGTTAGGCAGGTGCAACTTGGTATAAGTTAGGCAGGTGCAACTTGGTATAAGTTAGGCAGGTGCAACTTGGTATAAGTTAGGTAGGTGTAACTTGGTATAAGTTAGGCAGGTGCAACTTGGTATAAGTCAGACAGGTGTAACTTGGTATAAGTTAGGCAGGTGCAACTTGGTATAAGTTAGACAGGTGTAACTTGGTATAAGTTAGGCAGGTGCAACTTGGTATAAGTTAGGTAGATGTAACTTGGTGTAAGTTAGGTAGGTGTACCTTGGTGTAAGTTAGGCAGGTGTAACTTGGTATAAGTTAGGCAGGTGTAACTTGGTATAAGTTAGGCAGGTGCAACTTGGTATAAGTTAGGTAGGTGTAACTTGGTGTAAGTTAGGTAGGTGTACCTTGGTGTAAGTTAGGCAGGTGTAACTTGGTATAAGTTAGGCAGGTGTAACTTGGTATAAGTTAGGCAGGTGTAACTTGGTATAAGTTAGGCAGGTGCAACTTGGTATAAGTTAGGCAGGTGTAACTTGGTATAAGTTAGGCAGGTGCAACTTGGTATAAGTTAGGTAGGTGTAACTTGGTGTAAGTTAGGCAGGTGTAACTTGGTATAAGTTACTCAGGTGCAACTTGGTATAAGTTAGGCAGGTGTAACTTTGTATAAGTTAGGCAGGTGCAACTTGGTATAAGTTAGGTAGGTGTAACTTGGTGTAAGTTAGGTAGGTGTAACTTGGTATAAGTTAGGCAGGTGCAACTTGGTATAAGTTAGGTAGGTGTAACTTGGTGTAAGTTAGGTAGGTGTAACTTGGTATAAGTTAGGCAGGTGCAACTTGGTATAAGTTAGGCAGGTGCAACTTGGTATAAGTTAGGCAGGTGCAACTTGGTATAAGTTAGGTAGGTGTAACTTGGTATAAGTTAGGTAGGTGTAACTTGGTATAACTTAGGCAGGTGCAACTTGGTATAAGTTAGGCAGGTGCAACTTGGTATAAGTTAGGCAGGTGCAACTTGGTATAAGTTAGGTAGGTGTAACTTGGTATAAGTTAGGCAGGTGCAACTTGGTATAAGTCAGACAGGTGTAACTTGGTATAAGTTAGGCAGGTGCAACTTGGTATAAGTTAGACAGGTGTAACTTGGTGTAAGTTAGGCAGGTGCAACTTGGTATAAGTTAGGTAGATGTAACTTGGTGTAAGTTAGGTAGGTGTACCTTGGTGTAAGTTAGGCAGGTGTAACTTGGTATAAGTTAGGCAGGTGTAACTTGGTATAAGTTAGGCAGGTGCAACTTGGTATAAGTTAGGTAGGTGTAACTTGGTGTAAGTTAGGCAGGTGTAACTTGGTATAAGTTAGGCAGGTGCAACTTGGTATAAGTTAGGCAGGTGTAACTTGGTATAAGTTAGGCAGGTGCAACTTGGTATAAGTCAGACAGGTGTAACTTGGTATAAGTTAGGCAGGTGCAACTTGGTATAAGTTAGACAGGTGTAACTTGGTATAAGTTAGGCAGGTGCAACTTGGTATAAGTTAGGTAGATGTAACTTGGTGTAAGTTAGGTAGGTGTACCTTGGTGTAAGTTAGGCAGGTGTAACTTGGTATAAGTTAGGCAGGTGTAACTTGGTATAAGTTAGGCAGGTGCAACTTGGTATAAGTTAGG